TTCCGTCTGTTTATCCTGCAGGATACAGTGAGTTCTACCGAAATGTTTTTTTTTTGTAAGAAATGAAAAATCTAGTCCCAGAGGATTGTATATTATATACCAATGAATGTGAATGGCCTATTATAGGAAAGATAAATCAGAGGCAGGATTCTTGTTACCAGTTCTTGGCTAATATTGATATGTTTCCTATTTCAAAGATTGCAGGGATATGATGACCTCATTTATAGCAGAATCTTATTAAATATGGAAAAAGTTTCCAAACATAGTTAAATTATCTACAGTCAATGATTCATATATATATTAAATGGTGAGCAGATCTTCCATTTGTTAATGATTTGTTTTCTTTGTGCGGTAAAAATCTGCAATCTTATATAGCGTTTTCGTTAATCGTATAACTGATAGTCGAAGTCAGGAGATCTGATTGTTATTTTAGCCTTTTAGTTTTTATTTTTATTTTTATTTTGCTTAGAAAAAGTAATATCAATTCGGCTTTTTATATATATCCATGATTCGGTTCAATTCGATTTTTAATGAATTTTTCGTTTTTGAATTGATTTTTCGGGTTTATATATTTTCATATTTGGTATGGTTTAATTCATTCGTTTTGAAGAAAAATCATATCTAATAGATTTTTTAGACTAGTAAATCATCTGATTCAATTAGGTATTATTTAATTCAGTTTAATTATATATACTTAAAAGACATTTACCGGATATTTAGAAAATTGATTGAAAGAAATTTAGAAATTTTCTGCGCAAATGGATCCCTTTAACAAACAATGTGTTTTCTTAGGCCAAGGATGGCGGGGATTAATTTTGTCTACTAAATCATCTGTTTAATCTAATTTCGTCTTCTAACCATATGTTTGATGGTTTAATATGAAACTATATCACAAGTTATTGCATAGAATTCGATATGATATATACTTATGAATTGATATATATTTCCATATATATATATGGGTGAATACTTATATTCCGAATCTCAATTGCTCGAAACCCTAACATCACTCCAGTTGCTCGAAGCACTAAATCCCTACAGCCCTCAAATCACTCAGCCTCTCCTTGATCTATGTCTCTCTCTCTCTCTCCCTTCACTTTCAAAACACACCAAAGGTCCAAAACCCTAATCACCCCTTCTTCAACTGGTCACCGACTGGACCAGAAAAATTTTAATTGACCGCAATAGTAAATTTACTATAATTCCTTAAGGATAAACTTAAATTTACTATAGGATATTTAACAATTTTATTCAAAATTTTATAACATTTATTAAAAAATATATATATTATTGCGGTGGGGACACGAGCCCGTTGTAAATGAACTGGGTTCGCCCCTGTCCTCACGGTTGACTCAAGGTTATAAAATTTTAAACATACGAAAAAAAGAACCCGAAAAATTAAGACCCAAAGAACGGAAACTTTGACACAGTATGTGGCTTCGTCTCTTCTGGTATCTTCTTTTCATGGTTTCCATCGTCTTATGTTTTTTTTTTGTTAAAAGGAGTATATAATTATATATATGAGCAAGAGCTACAAGAGACGAGTCACTTTACAAAAGGGGTAGTTTACCAAGAAGTCGTACAAAAAACTGCCCTAAGAAAAAACATGTTTAGCAAAGCAATAGACATGTAGAAACCTCAACCTCTCTGGAAAGGATCTGTCACGGGGTGGAGAACCATAATTATAATAGAGAGCTTGCCATTAGATTGCTTGATAGTTTAATAATCGCTATCTTATTTCGGAAACACCGATCAATATCTCGGCGGATGATTGAGATGTTCGTGTGATTCCCTGAATGCAGCCGTGAATTCCGCTCCATCCATACAATATAAACAATCGTTTTCCAAGTAAGTTGGGCTCCCAATAGTCTGATTTTGCAGCCCCATCGCCCTAGCAGCCAGTCCAAAATATCGGTCCAAGTGGTGTGTGTAGGCGAATTACCCCATTTCACCATAGCCCATGTGAACAATTTTTTAGTAGCACGACACTCAAAAAAGAGATGACTTCTGTTTTCCGTAATACTACCACAGAAGAGGCATTTCAAGTCCACCGGTATAGCCCCCATGAAGCCAACCTTTCCTTAGTTGGACAATGATCATGGACAAAATAACCATGCTATAAATGAGAATTTACGTGTATAGAACTTACACTAAACCAATCTGTACCAAGGCTAAGTATAATCGAGCTAGGAGAGATAGCTTTATATACCTCCTTGGTCGAAAAACAATCTGATATTTTACCCCCGACTATCGGGTCACGTGTATCATTATGGTTGGATAGTGTTTTTCCAGCCAAATAAACAGCTAGCAAGAGAGCCTTAGCCGAGCGCACTGATGGTAATCTCCATGCTCCATCGCGACAAAGATCAACCACTTTCGTTTGGAGCGGGGTGCCCAGTCTTTGGGGTCCTAAGGGACCAAATGAGTCCAACAATAAACTAAGCGGGCACCAATCATCGTGCCAAAAAGATGTAAGTTTCCCATTTTCTAGGTTAATTCGGATATAAAAGCCCTTGTCGTCAAGCATGTTTTCAACATCCTGCGGAAATACCATGAGTGACTAGCATTGGGCCTAGTGCTCCAGAAACAACATCTATGTAGATACTTCATGTGGATCCAATCCATCGTCTTATGTTTTTGTCTGAATCTTGGTTCACTTATGATAATTAATGGAATGTTTGGGTTGTGAACACTGGAGACTTGCAAGGTTCTGTGTAATGGTTTTTTTATAATCCGAAAGTTCACTTGCCTTTGACCGACTACATCTCTCAGAGGATTAGAGAAGTCCATGTGAATATCCCTCCCCAAATGAGGATTCGAATCCGGGTTGGGAAGGAGCTTTGCTCTTCCTTATCGATTGAGCCACCCAATTTTGGGTAGTTCTGTGTAATGGTTATCATGTGCCATGACTATACTTGCGTTTTTTTTCTTATGTACATATCTCTTCTTGAATTCACGATGTTTTGATGAATTCGGTTTTCGAGTTATGTAAAACAAATAAAAGATTAGGGCTTCCATCAACATTAACTCAAAATCCTCATGGATCCCTTTGGGGCAAATTCAGAATTTGATCAAAGTTACTAACCATTATTATATAGAATATATGACTTACACTGTTGTACATGTGTTAAGAAGAGGAACCGTCAAGACACATATAAGGAGACAATATAACATGCGAGTACACACCATGTTTAATTGTTCGGCTCTCTAAATCAGCGAACAGGTGTCGGAAGGACCATCTTTCCCCCGACCGTGGATTCGACGTTATCGCAGATGGCGGTGGCAGGGTCATCAGATCCGTTGTAGACCAGATTGATGTCGTAAAGCTCGACATTCTTGCACGGGAATTTATGGCTGCATTCCAATTTCACTGCCTGCTTCCTCG